CTATAGGCGCCGAGCCTCATAGTCAACCTTAAAGCAGGTTTAGATCACTGGGTTTGGATGACATGTTAGTTGTGGTGGCTTTCAAGTCAGCTGACGGGTGGGTAGAATAGAGCTCCCTTTGTATCAAGTCTAAAATGTGTAGTTAATGTTAAAGTCAGGTCCAATATGACATCACTCCACCCAGACACTTGTCTCCATAGTTCCTAGGAGAGGCTGCAAAGCCAAAGCCACGCACCACCCCATGCCAGATTTGGATGTATGTACCTGGTAGTATACACCAATTTGGGATATGCTACCCGTAAGCCCATACAGCCTAACCAAGGCTTGATTTTCTATGATTTTATTTAACTCAATAACACTTCTTAGATCAGAAATGCTTTGCTGATCAGAGTATAGTGTTTCTTCATTTGTATAGTGGTTAGTAAAAAAAAGAAAAAAAAAGAGTATATAGTGTGGGCCCTACAAGACCAAACCTTATTATAATAACGATATGTTAGGAAGTAGGCCTTCACATGCGCCTCACAAAATAATATACACACAGTTAGTTTGTAAAACTAAAACCTTATTGCCATTTCCTTCCTTTTATTTCTCATGCTTTACTATTCTCTCTCTCTCTTTTTTTTTTAAAGACAAAGTCTCACTTTTTTGCCCTCAGTAGAGTGCAGTGACATCACAGCTCACAGCAACCTCCAGCTCTTGGGCTTAGGTGATTCTCTTGCCTCAGTTTCCCGAGTAGTTGAGATTACAAGCGCCCACCATAATGTCCAGCTATGTTTATATTGCAGTTTTTCCGGGGCCAAGTCTGAACTCGCCACCCTCAGTCTATGGGGCCGGCACCCTACTTGCTGAGCCACAGGTGCCACCTGCTTCACTTCAATTGAATTTAGCAATTACTTTCCTTTAAAAGGTGGGAATGGAGGAGAAGGCGCAGTACCCAGTCTGTCTACATACTATAAATAGAGCTATGTATCTCATAGGCACTTGACAAATGTTACTGGCTGTCCTCTACCTGGCTAGCTATTAAGCAAAATGAGCATTAAGCTGAAGAATTACCAGTTAACATGACAAATAATAAAACACTCAAAAGTGTTTTCTTCCTCAGAGAGGCCCTCAGATTTTAGATAATTTCGGAAAAAGTCCTCTAAGAAATTAGTTGCTGGCTCGACGCCTGTGGCTCAAATGGCTAAGGCGCCAACCACATACACCTGAGCTAGTGGGTTCAAATCTAGCCTGGGCCCACCAAACAACAATGACAGCTGCAACCAAAAAATAGCTGGGCATTGTGGTGGGCACCTGTGGTCCCAGCTACTTGGGAGGCAGAGGCAGGAGAATTGCTTGAGCCCAGGAGTTGGAGGTTGCTGTGAGCTGTGATGCTAGAGCTCTCTGCCCAGGGCAATAGCTTGAGGCTCTGTCTCAAAAAAAAAAAAAAGAAAGAAATTAGTTGCTTTCTAGTCCTCACAACTGCCGGTAGTGAAGTTGAAAGGGGAAGAAATGCAGACCATGCTGGCTGATGAGGTGAGTGCTGAAGCAGATGACATCTCCAACGAAGGTCAGCTTGGTGTCTGGTTCAATGGCATGCTCTACAGCAACAGGGATGTAATCTGCCATGCCTGGATGCCTCCGGTCCCATAGCCCCACAAGTGTTACCCCTCTGTTCACAGCCTGGGCTATGTAAGTATAGTTCCTATTCCCTGGTCCAATAAGCAGCAAGTCATCCCTGAAAGTAGACATGAAAGGTAGAAATTTCTAAATAGAGATAATAGTTAGGAAACAGTCTTAGCCTCTCACAACATTTTACATTCAATAGCTCAAAACTTCAGAAGGGATTCCACAACAGAGTGTAAGTATGGGTCTAGGGTCTATCTACTACCTCCATATGTACAAGCACCAGGTATGGCTTTTTTTTTTTCAGTTGCAGTTTTTGGCCGGGGCTGGGTTTGGGTTTGAACACACCACCTCTGGCATATGGGGCTGGTGCCGTACTCCTTGAGCCACAGGAACCACCCAGGTATGGCTTTTATTTGTTTTTAATTCCCTGTGAAACTTTTTGATAATAATGCTCCAATTAGCTCCCTATAGGTCTTTCTGTGAACTACTAGGACTTTAGAGATTTGAAATATCTCTAAATTCAAATTCAAATTCAATTCAAATATATTTGAAATATATAATGAAATTTTTCTTCATTGACAACTGTTTTTTTTTTGAGACAGAGTTTCATTTTGTCACCCTCAGTAGAGTACTGTGGCATCATAGCTCACAGCAACCTCAAAATCTTTGGACTCAAGCAATTCTCTTGCCTCGCCTCCCAAGTAGCTGGGACTACAGGCGCCTGCCACAATCCACAGCTATTTTTAGACACGGGATCTGTTCTGACTCAGGCTGGTCTCAAACCTGTGAGCTCAGGCAATCCACTCGCCTCAGCCTCCCAGAGTGCTAGGATTACAGGCATGAGCCACCGTGCCTGGCCAACTACTAATATCCTTCTTTTTTTTGGCCAGGGCTAGGTTTGAACCCACCACCTCCAGCATATGGGGCCAGTGCCCTACCCCTTTGAGCCACAGGCACCACCCTAATATCATTCTTTAAATGAGTCTGTTCTTTTTTTTTGTTTGAGACAGTCTCACTCTGTTGCCCTTGGTAGAGTGCCATGGTGTCACAGCTTACAGCAACCTCAAACTCTTAGGCTTAAGCAATTCTCTTGCCTCAGCGTCCTGAATAGCTGGGACTACAGGTGCCCAGCACAATGCCCGGCTATTTTTTTGTTGCAGTTGTCGTTGTTGTTTAGCTGGCCTCAGCCAGGTTTGAACCCGCAAGCCTTGGTGTATGTGGCTGATGCTGTAACCACTGTGCTACGGGCACCGAGCCTGAGTCTGGTCTTTTTAAAAATCTTAATAAAAGAAATAAAAATTATATTCCAAGTTCAGAATGTTAGAGGAATTTACTAAAGCTTTTAAATAGCCTACTCTGCAATATTTCTACCACAATGCTAGCACAATTCCTTGACTTCCATACCTGTTCAGAGCCAGATAAAGCTGGGTATTATGTGTATGGAATTTCTCTCCGATGCTATTATAAAACTGAACAATGAAGGTGAGAGACATGCCCAAGGGAAAGGCTGACAAGGTCCTTCCTTGGACTGTGTATAGCTTGGGCTGGCTGCTCACTCGCAGGTATGTCACTGGTGCTACCTGTGGGAGACAAAACCCACTGGTACAGAGAGAGACACACTGTAGAAGCACTGCGAACACATTCTGAAAATTAGAGTTGATGATAAAGAGTGGTGTTCCTCTTCTGTAAGAAACAGTTAGCTTTTCATTTGAGATGACTTAAATCAGAGTAAAAAGGAATATAACAGCACAGGAAAATTTTTTTCTTTTGAGAGAGACTCACTTGTCGCCCTCAGTAGAGTGCTGTAGCATCATAGCTCATGGCAATCTCAAACTCTTAGTCTCAAGTGACTGATTCCCTTCCATCAGCCTTCCAAGTAGCTGGGACTACAGGTGCCCACTACAACACCCGTCTGTTTTTTTTTTTTTTTTTTTTGAGATAGAGCCTCGAGTTGTTGCCCTGGGTAGAGTACCCTGGCATCGCAGCTCACAGCAACTTCCAACTCCTGGGCTTAAGCAATTCTTTTGCCTCAGCCTTCCAAGTAGCTGGGACCACAGGTACCTGCCACAATGCCCAGCTATTTTTGGTTGTAGTTGTCATTGTTGTTTGGCAGGCCCAGGCTGGATTTGAACCCATCATCTTAGGTGTATGTGGCTGGTGCCTTAGCTGCTTGAGTTACAGGCGCTGAGCCCACCTATTTTTCATTTTTATTTATTTATTTATTTTGAGACAGAGTCTCAATCTGTCACCCTGGGTAGAGTGCTGCAACATCACAGCTCACAGCAACCTTAAACTCTTGGGCTTAAGTGACTCTCTTGCCTCAGTCTCCCAAGTAGCTGGGACCACAGGCCCCCACCACAACGCTATTGGCTATTTTTTGGTTGTAGTTGTCATCATTGTTTGGTGGGCCTGGGCTGGATTGGAACCCTCCAGCTCTGGTGTATGTGGCTGGCACCTTAGGCACTTGAGCTATAGGCGCTGGACCTTATTATTATTATTTTTGTTGTTGCAGTTTAGCTGAGGCTGGGTTCAAACCTGCCACCCTTGGTATAGGGGGCCGGCACCCTACTCATTGAGCCACAGGTGCCGCCCTAGCTATTTTTTAGAGATCAGGTCTTCTTCTGGCTCAGACTGTTCTCAAACCTATGAGCTCAGGCAATTTACCTGCCATAGTCTGCCACAGTGCTAGGATTACAGGCATGAGCCACCGTGCCTAGCCCTAGAAGCTAGAGCTTTTTGAGGAAAGGACTGTAATTTATCTATTTTGTGCTGACTACTCAATATTTATCATTCAATTTATCATTAAATTACTGATTATTTATCAGGAATGCTATAAATTGCATTTTCACACTGAAAGATAGCTCTGATAGTAAGATAAGTCCTGGCTCAGCGCCTACAACTCAAGCTGCTAAGGTGCCAGCCACATACACCAGAGCTGGTGGGTTCAAATCCAGCCCAGGCCTGCCATACAATGACACCTATAACCATAAAATAGCCAGGCATCGTGGCGGGCACCTATAGTCTCAGCTACTCGGGAGGCTGAGGCAAGAGAATCACTTAAGCCCAGGAGATGGAGGTTGCTGTGAGCTATGACGCTATGGCACTCTACCCAGGGCAATAGCTTGAGGCTCTGTCTCAAAAAAAAAAAGATAAGTCCAGCTTTGAATCACAGTTTTATCATTTCATAGCCTCACATAACCATTATGGGTTTCACATTTCTTATCCGTTAAATGGGGATAATAAATGCCTACCTCATGGCTGGATGTGGTGGTTCACTCTATAATTCTAGCACTCTGGGAGGCTCAGCTTAAGCTCAGGAGTTTGAGATCAGCCTGAGCAAGAATAAGACCTTATCTCTACTAAAAATAGAAAAATTAGCTGGGTGTTATGGCAGGTGCCTGTAGTGAAGCTGCTAGGGAGGCTAAAGAAAAAGAGTCCTTGAGACCAGGAGCTGGAGGTTGCTGTGAGCTGTGACACTATGGTACTGTAATCAGGGTGACAGAATGAGACTCTGTCTCAAAAAAAAAATTTTTTTTTTATTGATGGGGTTTTTCCCAGACGGGACCTGAGTTCTTGGGTTCAAATGATCCTCTTGCTTCAGCCTCCAGAGTAGTTCAGAGTAGTTGGGACTACAGTCATGTACCACTGCAGCTGGCCAAAAGCACAATTTGATAGTTCCACACTCTTTCCACATCAGTGCTTTTGCCAATGATGCTCAGAAAACAGTCATATCAATATGAAGCTAATCTCCTTTATAACAAAGGGCATTTAAATTTGATGGCATATATATAATCAATCACAATTAGCCTCATATCCTTTTTTTCCCTGTGTCCTAAGGAGGATCAGGATGGTCTCTTATCATACAGATTCATTTCTGACTTACAGAATAGTTCCTACTTCTTAAAAAAGGAAATCTGCTTCCAAGGTATTCCTCTTTTTATTTTTATTTTTCAGTAAGTTCCTGACCTTACCTGAATCCCAGTTATTGTTGTTTGGTTGACTCCAAAAGGTTCAATAGAAGTGACTTCCAACACGGCAGTACCTGCAATGGAACCAGCTTTTAGGAGCCCTTCACCATCCTCCTCAATGACGGATGAATTAGGGAAACACTTCAGAACACGAGAACTCACAAAGGCAGCTCCATCCCTAGGGAATAAATGGAGCAATTAGCATCTCTTGGGAGTCGTGTTTGACCAGAAAGAAACAGTAAAAATTGTTAGAGGCTGTACTTGAGGAAACTGCTTGCCATTCTCCATGACGTATAAAAGTCTGCCTGGGAGGCGCCTGTGGCTCAGTGAGTAGAGTGCCGGCTCCATATACCAAGGGTGGCGGGTTCGAACCCGGCCCTGGCCAAACTGCAACAAAAAAATAGTCAGGCGTTGTGGTGGGCACCTGTAGTCCCAGCTACTCAGGAGGCTGAGGCAAGATAATCGCCTAAGCCCAAGAGCTGGAGGTTGCTGTGAGCTGTGAGCTGTGAGCTGTGACGCCACAGCACTCTTGTGAGGGCAACAGAGACTTTGTCTCCAAAAAAAAATCAAATCCTATTATATATTTATCATCAAAAAATTATTCAGGCAGGGTGGTGCTGTGGCTCAAAAGGGTAGGGCACCGGCTCCATATGCCGGAGGTAGTGGGTTCAAACCCAGCCGCGGCCAAAAAAAAATTATTCAGCCAAAACCATTTAAAACAGGTATTCAGACAAATACTTGTACATGAGTGTTCATAGCAGCACTATTCACAATAGCCAAAAGGTGGAAACAACCCAAATGTCCACAAGCAAATGAATGGGTAAACAACGTGGTTTTTCCATACAATGGAATATTATTCAGTTATAAAAAGGAATGAAATACTAATATTGTGATATGGATAAACCTCAAAAACATTTCACTAACTGGGAAAAGCCAACAGAAAAACTTAAATATTGTATAATTCCATTTTTGTGAAATATCCAGAGAGTTAATACTGAAGATCAAGAAAGCAGATTAGTGGTTGCCAGGGCCTGGGGGAAGGGGAGAATGAGGAGTGACTGCTTAATGGGTACAGGGTCTCTCTCTCTCTCTCTCTCTTTTTTTTTTTCTTTGAGACAGAGTCTCACTTTGTCACCCTTGATAGAGTGCTGTGGTGTCATATCTGACAGCAACCTCAAACTCTTGGGCTCAAGCAATTCTCTTGCCTCAGCCTCCTGAGTAGCTGGGACTATAGGTGCCTGCCTCAATACCCAGCTATTTTTAGAGATGGGATCTTGCTCTCACTCACGCTGGTCTCAAACCTGTGCTTGTGAACTCAGGTAATCCACCTACTTCGGCCCTCCAGAGTGCTAGGATTACAGCCACCGTGCCAGCCTATATAGGGTCTCTTTTGATGGTGCTGAAAAGGGTTTAGAGCTTGGCAGAGGTGATGGTTGCAAAATATTGTGAATGTACTAAATGCCACAGAATTTTACACTTTGTTTATTTATTAAAAAAATTGGGGGGGGGGGGCTCAACACCTGTAGCTCAAGTGGCTAAGGCTTCAGCCACATACACCAGAGCTGGCAGGTTCAAATCCAGCCTGGGCCTGCCAAACAACGACAACTACAACCAAAAAATAGCCAGGTGTTGTGGCGGGTGCCTGTAGTCCCAGCTACTCGGGAGGCTGAGGCAAGAGAATAGCTTAAGCCCAAGAGTTGGAGTTTGCTGTGAGCTATGATGCTACGGTACTCTACCCAGGGTGACAGCTTAAGGCTCTGTCTCAAAAAAAAATTTTTTTTGGCTTGGTGCCTGTAGCACAGTGGTTAGGGCGCTGGCCACATACACCAAGACTGGTGGGTCTGCACCTGGCCCTGGGCCTGCTGAACAACTGCAACAAAAAAATAGCTGGGTGTTGTGGTGGGCACCTGTAGTCCTAGCTACTTGGGAGGCTAAGGCAATAGAATTGCTTAAGCACAAGAGTTTGAGGTTGCTGTGAGCTGTGATGCTAAGGCACTCTACTGAGGGCAACATAGTGAGGCTCTTTTTCAAAAAAATTTTTTTCTTTTAACATTTAGAATAATTTATGCCTCTGGCATAGAGTAAAGCAGGAATGGCCACATCAGCGTTTTGGCTATTTATTTATTTATTTATTTATTTTTGTCACCCCCTTTCTTGCTCCCAGTAGAGTGCTGTGACATCATAGTTCACAGCAACCTTAAACTCTTTGGGCTCAAGTGATTCTTTTGCCTCAGCCTCCCAAGTAGCTGGGACTACAGGGGCCGACCACAATGCCCGGCTATTTTTAGCCAGCCCACTCTGGCTCAGGCTGATCTTGAAATTGTGAGCTCAGGCAATCCACCCTCCTTGGCCTCCCATAGTGTTGGGATTACAGGCATGAGCTACCATGTCCAGCGGGGGGAGGGGGATTAGTTTTAATAGGGGAAATGCTTTAGGAAGAGATTTTATGAATAAGATTTTAAAGCACAACCAACAAAAGCAAAAAGAAACAAATGGGATTATACCAAACTAAAAAGCTTATACAGGCTGGGCACAGTGGCCACATGTATATAATCTCAGCACTCTGGGAGGCCCGGCCCAGGTGTGAGTATCTCTTGAGCCTAGGAGTTTGAGACCAGCCTGATAAAGAGTGAGACCCTGTCTCTACTAAAAATAGAAAAATATTAGCTGGGGAGGATGGTGGTTGCTTTTAGTCCCAGCTGCTTTGGAGACTGATGCAGGGGGAATCATTTGAACCCAAATTACAGCTAGGTAAGAGAAGTAAGTTCTAGTGTTTTCTACCACTGTAGGATGACTATAGTTGACAACAGTATACTATATAGTTTCAAATAGCTATAAAGAAGGATATTGAACATTCTCAACATAAAGAAATGATAGGCTCGACGCCTATGGCTCAAGTGGCTAAGACGCCAGCCACATACACCTAAGGTGGCGGGTTCGAATCCAGCCGGGCCCGCCAAACAACAATGACGGCTGCAACCAAAAAATAGCTGGGCGTTGTGGTGGGCGCCTGTGGTCCCAGCTACTTGGGAGGCTCAGGTAGGAGACTCACTTGAGCCCAGGAGTTGGAGGTTGCTGTGAGCTGTGATGCCACAGCACTCTACCCAGGGGGATAGCTTGAGGCTCTATCT